TTGTATCAGGAGAATATAATGTGCGAGGAGATCGAATGTTAAAATAAATTTTAAGTGAGGTTAGGTTAGCGTGCTAGTTAGGTTAGCTCAGAAATCTGGTATCAGGAGAATATAATGTGCGAGGAGATCGAAGGTTAAAATAATATTTAAGTGAGGTTAGGTTAGCATGCTAGTTAGGTTAGCTCAGAAATCTGGTATCAGGAGAATATAATGTGCGAGGAGATCGAAGGTTAAAATAAAATTTAAGTGAGGTTAGGTTAGCGTGCTAGTTAGGTTAGCTCAGAAATCTGGTATCAGGAGAATATAATGTGCGAGGAGATCGAAGGTTAAAATAAAATTTAAGTGAGGTTAGGTTAGCGTGCTAGTTAGGTTAGCTCAGAAATCTGGTATCAGGAGAATATAATGTGCGAGGAGATCGAAGGTTAAAATAAAATTTAAGTGAGGTTAGGTTAGCGTGCTAGTTAGGTTAGCTCAGAAATCTGGTATCAGGAGAATATAATGTGCGAGGAGATCGAAGGTTAAAATAAAATTTAAGTGAGGTTAGGTTAGCGTGCTAGTTAGGTTAGCTCAGAAATCTGGTATCAGGAGAATATAATGTGCGAGGAGATCGAAGGTTAAAATAAAATTTAAGTGAGGTTAGGTTAGCGTGCTAGTTAGGTTAGCTCAGAAATCTGGTATCATGATAATGTTCAAGGAGTTGATTGAAGGTTAGGTTAGAGTCGTATATAGGTTAGGTCAGATTAGTTTGGGCGTTTTAAATTTTTACAAATCTTCTATCTAACCTAACTCACATGAAACTTAACTCTCAAGTCTTTAAAATGATCACCGATTTAAAATTCTTATTTATTGCTGCTGCGTACTCTTATGCTGATTTAACTCGTGTATTGCGAACAGATACTTTATTAAAATCGTCAAAAATCTAGGTATACCAAAGACGTATAAGAACGGCCGTCTGTTTACCCGCCCTGTCCTTTGGCATTCCAAAAACGCTATGACGCAAAGGAATAGGCTATACAGGAGCGAAATGTTTCATTTTCGAGTTTTGTGGTTTACTCCTTTGACAGCGAAAGGCACAAATCCCAAAATGTTTATAGCCTTGTCTGAGTTTTTGGTTAATATTAAAATAATCAAAGGAGAATACATTGTGCTGACATCTGTCTTTATTATTGGGGACTAACATTTTATCGCATAATGCAGGACACTTTATTACCACCATTATTTTAGTTGGAATGTACACCTCAAAGATGTCGCCACACTAATGTTGTAATGTACTTTATGAAACTAACGTTAGATGTCAGAGCGCTGTTTTTAAAAACCATAGTTATATGAAGTTTGAACCTCAAATGCATTATAAATTTTGTTTATTTTATAGTCAAAAATTATACTTTGTTATCATTCCTTTCTCGCTTACAGGTTTAAATTAGGGAACTGGCTACTGGGAGTGACAGGAAAGCGGCAGACTCAACCTTTGCGGAATATGATGCTGTTCGCTCTGGGTCGTGCAATCGAAGACATGTAGTTCTCGATGGATGAGAAACGTTAGCATTGAATTCAGACAACACAAATTGAAAAGTGAAATGCTTTGTAACCAAAACAGGAGGACACTGTGGAGAACTCGCAGAAATCCCATTCTAATGCAATTCAAACTTCTCAAGGTTAAAATCTGAACGATTACATGATTGCAGCAGCTGGCGATTGTGCGAAGCTATTCTTTAAAGAATTGAGCCTAGAGTTTATTTGATAGAACTACAGTTATAGAAACGGTAGTGAAATTGGCAGCGAAATAAGGCAAAAGTGTTACGCAGTTTGCAATCACGAAAAAATGTGTTGTTTGTGCGATCTTCGCGTGAAAATTGTTGTAAAACGGTTCAGTTTAATGTACCTGTTATTGAAATTGTTCTTCCAAGGGCTTTAAATAAACTCATATGCATAAGAAGTTAGGAATTGCATAAATAAATGTTTTCTGTTCATTGAGCATGATGTGTTGCCTACAAACCAGGCTACACAAATATCGAGTGCCCATATTCAAATTAGGGATTTGCTTGAATCTCCCCAATCTGCCGTTTTTATTGAGGGTAAGGAGGACCTTCACGAACGAATGGCCCAAGGCCCCGAAAAACTTAAAAACGGCACTGCATTTAAGGAATAATAAGTGCAACGTTGCTATTAACCGCATAAATTCAAATGAAATTTTAAAAGAATATGTATACGTGGCGACATCTCAACTAGACTTCTAAAACTATAATAATAATCATGGCGCACTAGTACTTATTGTATTTAATCTATCTATTCAAAAACCGGGCCTTTAAACTACAATTGCTCTACAGATCTTGCAAGACTCCGCTCATTTTGAACTGCCATTTAAGGAATAATAAGTGCGACGTTGCTATTAACCGCATAAATTCAAATGAAATTTTAAAAGAAATTGCGTACGTGGCGACATCTCAACTAGACATCAAAAACTATAATTTATAGAAAGTGTATCGATTGCCAAGGAGATGGCGCACTAGTTCTTGTTGTATAAATTGTCTATTCAAAAATCGGGCCTTAAACTACAATTGCTCTACAGATCTTGCAAGACTCCGTACATTTTGAACTGCCATAAATTCCGACTTCTCAATAAAAAGTTATAGACCAATTTCGAAAGAAAAACGAGTTTGAAGTCCGGAGGGGGTCAACTCCCGGTGGCATGACAAGAGGTCCGGTTTAATCCCTACATAGATAAACAAACACTAGATGTTTTACTTTTATTTCATAGCATATACTTAAAGATATAGTTAAATTGGTAACAAATATTCAAATTCAGTACAAAAGTATAAAACAGAATTTCTTGTAGTAACCACAATATTAGAATATACTTCTCAATTGTCCCACAGTTTCTTTTTTAAGATTAAATTCGTGTAAATAGTTTCTAAATCGTCTACATATTTTTATTAAGCTTCGCTTGGTAGCACCATATACGCTGTTACTCAATTTTACACTCGAATGACTCGAATTTTTCTTAAGAAGTATAGATGATTTATTTAATCTTTCTAACGCAATTTTCAATTGAAATAAACTAGCGATTATATCGGGAACATCTCGCTGTATTACTCCGTACGGATCTTCTCGAACGGATTCCACCACAATATTTCCTAGCGCCGATATCATTAACTCCATTGATTGTCCGGATTTTAGGATGTCTTGGATTTTGGCATCCTTAGATGTTCCGAATATTTGTTTAATAATGCCTATGTTTTTGAAATATCCGTACAGGTCACTTAGTATCTTCATTAATCGCACGTAGATCGTTTGTTGTACTTGTAATGAATCGTTTGTCTGTATTTCTGCAATTGACGCGATGGAAGAGGTTTGGCTCGATCGTATATTGAGGTATTTCATTGGCACCGGCACAGTCTGTAAGCAGAGGGTTGGAAAAAATCTACGTTATGAAATACCTACAGTAAGTGTTGCATCGAAGTTTTTATGTGTAGATGTATTTTGAGGTCTCACTAAGTCTGGCGTAGATATAGCCTCCATATTATTATTTAGTGATTCTGTAAAATTATTCACTAGCATCAGGATTACGTCAATCAATTGGTTCCATGTGTACGGATGTCCACCAGGTTGCGACAGTGCATATAACATTTGCCTTCTTTCCGGAGACCACAAAGATAACAAATACAAATCTAAAGATGCTAACTGCTGAAGTATAGGCACCGTGTCCAGTGACAAAGCATCTGCAAGCGAAGGTGCATTTTTGTCCGTTCTGGTAAGTGGAAGGCGGATTTGTTCTGTTAAAAATAATTTGAACAGAAATTCAAAGACATTCGCATGTATCACATAAACAGTACTAAACACCCAAGTCAAAAAATAAAGCGGAATTCCAAACTGTTGATGTTGTATTTCTACTCCGAATTCGAGACATATTTGATAAACAATTGAACTAAGACAGTGATAAAGAAGGGTGAAATATATGGTCGGGTACAGTGCAAACCATTTACTTTCGTTAACTATCGTGAAAAATTCCGCCTTAAAATTACAAAATTTAGATTGCTGAATGACAGGGAATAACAACATTTTATGTGAGGACTGTGTTCGAAGGTAGAAATACAGTCCATTCCAGGCACCGTTTAAAATAAGAAAAAGACCACCCTCTTGCATGCAAGTATGCCCATCACATTTCGAATACAACGCGCTATACTGGTCTTCACTGAGCGATAAGTAAAGCCACACCACAAATCCACCTCCGATAATGTGCAGCACTAGAAAGATTATCTTCACAGAGAGACCGGAAATAAGCTCCCGCAGTGTGGAACTGCCTTCATTCGTTTTAGTCAATAAAGACTTCGAGGACAGTGCGGTTTTGAAGAAAATTAACACAACAACCGGTAGAATATAAATCCAGAAACTAAAACACGAAATTGAGTACAAAATCGATCGCAACCAAACCTCGGGTGCCATGAAGTTGTGATTGACTATAACGACGTATAGAAGAATAAATAAGAAATGGAATAGCATAGTATAAGTCACTGCACATGATATCTTCGAAAGTATTATGTCTTTGTATGGTTTTGGGTCTATGAGGTTAGAGTTTGTCGCGGCACTTGCATTTGTTGACTCTGATTTGGTACGACTTCTCCATTTCCGCATTATTTTAGACCTCCACAAACTGAGTGCTGTATTTATTTAAACATTTAAACCGATTTATACAGCACAACGGTTAACACGAATTAATTTGAAAACGCACGACAACCGGTAACAAAATTACCAAACAGCTAAACAGTGCTGCCACTAAAACAGCATAAAATCCCTACAGTACTTTATTAACTACATACAGGATGTGTCCTTTCGATAGGTCAAACTAGATTTTGGCAACATGACAGTTTGTGACTGATGGAAATTGACCAAGTCACTTCTACATAGATTTTTTAAGTGAAAAACTCAAGTGCATCGATGCCACATTTTAAAATGAAAACTTGAGGATTAATAATCTTGTGCATTCATAAAGGCCAGTAACGCACTAGGCAGCCTGGTTACGGCAGCCAAACTGGGGTGATCGTGTGTGGGATTGGCTGCCGCGACGTGTAACATACACAAAATTAGTGCAAATACTTCTACATCTCCTCAAACTCCCATATAATTGTAGATTGTTGTACGGAGAATCATATAGTAGTTTGCAGTTATGTGAACTAGAATCGCTGATATACCTCCTGCAGGAGTTCTTCTTGCATGTATTTCAGTTTGAGCCTTGAAAGCTTCCACCATGTATATACAGCCTTGTGAGCTGTTAACCGCGCGACTTTTTTTTAAAAAAAAGCGCATAATAGTCAGGGAGACATTTCTGAAAAGTGCATGTCTAACGGCGTTTTGTGCTACAAACTGGCAACAGGCGGTTCTAGACTAATTGGCCCCCGCTGAAAACGATGCGCCCTGTTGCCAGACCCGATTTTGGCATTTAAGCCCTTAAATCCAAGATGGCGGGCGAAATTACCGTTTTTCGGTTATTTTGAGCTCACAAGGCACGCCACTGAACGTTTTGGGTAGTTTAAGGGTAGAATATCATCTAGTACACACGTCGACATCGTTTAGGCACACTTTCCTATTCATATTACGGGCCTAAATGCCAAAACTCTGTTAAAAAACGTCAAAAATGCAAAAATTCGTCATTTTTTCTTCTGGCCGGTTGTCGGCGTCCAATATGTATTCATATGGTAAAGTTAGCATTTAAGTATGTGGGGACCACCAGCAGCGCCATATGCCTGGGGCCTAAATATCAAGATGGCGCCTGGAAAGTTCAAAAACAGTGAAAAAGTCGTTCTTTTTGCCGTATTTTTACTACACTGGCCACACATTCTCCATTTCGATGGCCTGGAGCCATAATATGAGAATTGCGAATATCATTGATGGAAGATGGAAGACGCCATCAAAGCGACACAAACGAACTTCAGGAGCGGCGCCGACGAAGATGCACAACAACACGCGAGTGCACTGATTGAGAGTTTCGCGAATCCGTTCGGTTGGAGATGATAATTCCACCCCCCTCTCGTGGGGGGTATTACGTCCGGGGTAGCAGTCGCAATTACTCATAATAATGTTCCGGAACATCAAAATGAACAGCGAACGTAAAGAGTGGCCGGCAAAAAGAACGAATTTTTCACTGTTTTTGGACTTTCCAGGCGCCATCTTGATATTTAGGCCCCAGGCATATGGTGCTGCTGGAGGCACACATACCTAAATGTTACCTTGACAATATGAATACATATTAGACGCCGACAACCGGTCAGAAAAAAAATGATGAATTTTTGCATTTTTGACGTTTTTAAGGGGAGTTTAGGCATTTACGCCCTTAATATGAATACGAAAGTGCGCCTAAATGGTGTCGTCGTCTGTACTAGATGTTATTCTACCCTTAAACTACCCAAAACGTTCAGTGGCTGCCTTGTGGGCTCGAAATACCCGAAAAAACGGCAATTTTGGCCGCCATCTTGGATTTAAGGGCTTAAATGTCAAAATCGGGTCTGGCAACAGGGTGCATTGTTTTCAGCGGGGGCAAATTAGTCTAGAACCTGTTGCCAGTTTGTAGCACAAAACGCCGTTAGACATAGAGAGCCTTTTTCAGAAATGTCTCCCTGACTATAAAGACATATGAGATTAAGATGTTATGAGAAAGAGAAGGCTATGGCCTATGCTTCATTGAAACTGTTTTGTGTTCCAATAAGTGGGGTCAAAATATACCCTGTTTTGTAGTTCTTGTGCAATAAATGGACGATTTGAACTAATGGAAACAGCGACCTCAAGAGGAGTATCTAATCTACTTCTGAAAGGTTGTAGATAAAACAGGAATCTTTATTGACAGTTATACATGGTTAGTGTTGTGATTGTAAAGCAGCGCTTGCTTGATTTGTTGTACTGTTGTCAAATAGTGGTTTCATTTAGAATTATGCGTGTAAAGACGATTCTATCGTTAGTGAACTTAATTAATCAAAATAATGGGACAATACAGTGAATTTAACAATGATTTAAATAACCCGAGGCCAATTTCCCTTCGGTTTTGATTAGAGAATTTGCTGTCAAATTTTGCGAGAGCAAATGGCGTCAGACAGCGAAGCTTGCTGCGAGAGCGATCCCAATTTCGCCGTTATTTGTGGATTTTTAGAGAAATTTGGAATGTCTTGCGGCCTAACAAGTATCGACTTTGTAGATCTCCAGTACATGTTGGAAAATAACCAAGAAGGTACAGGAACACACTACCAAAAAGATTTGCACTTTTTCATTTTCTTATTATGCACATATCATTTTAAAACTATTCCAGTGCCGCAACAATTAGTCGATTTGCACGTTAAATTATTAAGGAAGGCACGCAAATCTGTTTCGTCGGAACGTTGGGAGAGGGCGGTTATTAAATTTTGTCACAGTTTCTGTAGTCAGGATGCGTGGGAAATCGAAAGGTTTGGCTATAAAAAAGCCAGATTGTCGTCAAAGTTGAGGATACTTAAGGTAAATTGCGGTATAAGGACGACATTTATTCACCGTAAGCTTTCAGGAACTTCTGGAAAGTCAGTTCGATTATAATGTTAAATTTAAAAATGAGGTCAATAAGTTGTCGGCAGAGGAATTAAGGACACAACCGTTGGGCAGAGACCAACTTGGCCATACCTATTGGTTTCAAAGTGATAGCAGTTGTCAGATTCGTGTGTATAAGGAGGACCCCGATGAAGAGACTTGGGCGCTAGTTGCCAAGTAAGACTTGTTTCGTTTCCACTTGATCATCTGAAAGAACACGATTGGTTGAAATTTTACATTTTTTAAATACAATGAAGAACCATGCTTCCATTAGTGGAAAATTAACACGTAAAGTTAATGTCGAAGACTATTGCCAGTCTTGCGCTGTTCATTAAAATATTCATTAACGCAAGAATATTTGTCAGAAATCAGAGAGTTGTTTCTGATTAAATTGATATACCTAGCAGACATACAGAGTGAAGTTGGCCATGATTCTTTATTGTTTCTTTTTTAAAGATGGAATGTCTCCAGCCACCTCCGCTCATATTTGGGATTGGGAGTTAATTTGAGACAACAAGGTCTTGAGTATACCTCTCAGTATTATTCAGAAGGCAGAGTTTATTGAAATATGCACCATTTGATAATAAAAGCACTAAAGAAAACATTGTTAAACAAGACTGTTGAAAAACTTATGTACAGGGTCTGTTCTGAAAATAGTAGGACGCATTTGTTTTTAAATTTTGATCGTGCGAATAGTACAAACAATTGGAATTTTTCCAGTTTTTGTGTGGCTCCAGGAACGTCTGGACCGGAATGCTGTTTAGTTCTTTCGTCAGAGCCTGTTGAACCATCTCCCTCGAGACCGTGATCCTGCCTCTGAGCGTCAATTTTTTCTTGGGAAAAACACTTAAAATTCGATATAAAAAAATATTTCTTTTTTATTGAAACTTTCCACACAAAAAGTGAACCGTAAGTGGTTAACAACCCCATGGAGTAGGAGACCTTTCAATAGAATACCAGGTGGTAAACCCCCCCCCCTCCCATTTGTGTGCCAAATTTCACATAAATCGATCGTTGCATGTAAAGAAATTATGCACGAAACAACATCTGGGAAAATAATTAATGAGGAGACAATAAAATTTGAAGGTCGTCTAGTCCACCGGGCAAAACGCACATTTTTTTACTTCCAGATATCCAGTGTACACTGTAATAGATGCCCGCAGGTTTTCCAACATTTTCAGAGATATCCAACAATGTCTGTGGATATCAAATTTTTTCGAATTTTTTTTAGAACCACTTGAATCTTTTTTGAATTTTTAGAATCTTTTTTAATTTTTTTAAATTGTTTTGAATCACTTTAATATCATCCATGAGGTGTTACCTCTACTTACAAAAAATTTATTATACAGGATGTTTCATTTAAAAAAATAGGTTAAATCCGGTAAACGGCAGATTATTCAACAATTATTGTAAAGAAACTTTTGTATGTGTTTTTTAACTAAGAAAACAATATTTTGATTTTTCCTCATATCTCTTAAGTGAGAAAAAATTTTCAAATTTTAATTATACCATTTTAAGTTTGATCCAAAAAGAGCACGTGACGCTTATGCTACTTTTTTGATAGTACATACTAACAATTACATAGATACCCGTTATAAAAGTATCGGAAATTAAGTATGTCGAAAAAAATTGAGTGGTCAGGGTAACAAAAACAACCCCAACATTTGCGTTTAACACATAGAAGGACGAAGTTAACCGAATTCGTTAGGTTTGGGCGTATTCTTTTTCTGATTTTGCAGAAATTTTCCAAAATTCCAAGATTTTACTGAGGAAAATTCCAAACCCGACGGAATTTGGTGTCTTTGAATGAGCAGATACCAAAACTAAACATAGCTTTTGAAAATTAAATAAAAACTGTTTGATAGTTCCGTTCTTAAACACAAAAGAAGTGTTTCCACCAAATTTGATTAAATTTTCTGTGAGGTGCTGGATGTGGGGGAGGAGGTGAGAAGTGGAAAATGTGGATTTTAAAGAAGGGAAAAAATACATTTTAATTCATTTTGTGAAAAGTTTTACCAAGCTGGCGTCTAGTAAAGATTGATTGATTGATTATATCAAAGTGAAAAGATATTTTTTTTTAATAATAATAATAATTTATTTCCAACAGCAAAGCCTATTACAGGAAATTTCAAAGGATAAACAAAATTAAAATACAAACTTATAATAATGTTTCAAAAAAAAAGTGCAAGACATTTTAAAGTTAGTAAATAGTAAGTAAATGCGGTAGATAATTTTTGTAATTATTAAGTTTAAGATTCTGTAAAAATTAAAAAAAAAAACATAATTGTTCTAAAAATTAAGAAATTTGTTAATTTTTAAGAATTTCTAGACGAACGTTTTTTGAAGATTTTATTTTTAGCTCACTATCGAATCCCGTTGTAAAAAAATGGCCCATTAAACTTGATTGAAAAAATTTGATTTGACTGGTTGCAATACAACCTCTGACCTCTTTAAAAAAATTGACTGCAGATACAATATTTCAAATTTGTCTACAATGTGATAGTCGCCATCGCGTGATTTTTTAAGTTGGTAGTGACAGATTTTAAGTAATTTTATATTGGCAAACATGCAAAATTAACCTAAAATTGGTAAAATTATTATGACCTTTAAGAAGCTCCTTAAAACTATTTTTTGCAACTGCAAAAAGGGGTTATAATTTGAAGTGCGGCTACAAAATAGTAGGTTTATTTTGTTAACAGCATGCACCAGTTGTTTTCAACAGAAGAAGATCCTTACATCGACGACGACACAGCTGATGTATCGCTGTTTGAACAATTTACATCAACTTAGGAAGAAGAAAAAGAATATGGAGAGAGAGATAGAAGCAGTGGCGTACCTAGGTATTTTTCGAAGCGGTGCCGGATCAGGTTTTGGCGCCTTATTAGTTACCATTGAGCTCTAAGTAATAAAACACTGTACATTTTTGAGAGAAACTTTACACGAAATTTTAAAAGCACTGCACTACTTAAATTTTAGAATAATGCTTTGAATAACGAAGTCTTTCACTCAACGAAGAATAGAAATACATTTATTTATCATGTTTCAATTCTCGCGTCAAATTTAGCTATGACATAGGGTACAAGTCGTACAAATGATTGCGTCTTAGAATAAGGGTGCAAATGCTGGTCGCACTAATACGGACTATTGTATAGATCACAAATAAAGTATTATTATTATTCGTTTAAATTTGCAGCCTTTTCCTACCGCTGTAACTTTGTTCTACAAGGGCCATTCAGAAAGTAACAGACGTTTTGAAATTAAAAATTAAGAAAGTGTAAGAAACTGTTATTATATACACTCTTAGGCTGTTTTTCAACATAGTCGCCATTCATATTGAGGCACTTAACATAGCGTGGTACAAGTGTTTTGATTCAAACTTTGTATACATCCGCGGACTGTGGGGGCGTTAGAAGTGGGTACCGACAAAGGGAATATGCTAGCTCCCGACAAGATCTTATTGATTGTGGAGTCAAAACTGGCTAATGAAAGTACTGATCTGCCACACAAAAATGCCTTGGATCTCACACGGTGACTTTGATCATTTTTTTAATTTTTTAACAATGTTCCGTTCATCCTAAAGGAGCGTAAATTTAGTTTTCATTATATTTCAGGCTCGATTTCAGCGCAACCTGTAGTCGACTTTAGCAAACTATTAGAATTTAACTGCCGTTCTTGTCTTTTATGACTGACCTATACGGTACACCACGTACTGCCCATCCCGACTTAGTGCCCTCCGTACTTCAGCGTCTCTGGCGCGCCCTCTTCCGCCTTCCCGCACCTTTGGCACCTACCTAGTTACGCCACTGGATAGAAGATGAAGGAGAAGACTTTTATTCTACTAGGATTAAATAAAATAGACCGTGAAGTAGGCCTACTGGGGCAACCACGTTAAAAAAAACACGTCAAGTACACTACAACTCAAAAAAGTAAAGAAGGCCCTTTTGACATCTCCGTTAGTTATGAACCGAATTGGATGAAATTCAATATGCGCATAACTGTAGCCATATAAAACGCAATTTCAAAAGTTGAGCCTAATCGATCATCATTCACAGTGCCCTCTTCGCATCTTGACCATTTATAAGTCGAATTGCAAACTTTCTTTGAAGGTATTTAAATGAAATTTGATACATAGCCACTTGGAATAAAAGCAAAACAAATCCAGAATTCAAAATTTGGTTTTGCACATGCTATAGCCATACCCAGGGGCTCTTTTTCTATATTTGTTTATTGTCTGATCTAGTTTTATCGGAAAACTAACCAAAATCCATTTCTGCGAACTTTGACCTTATAGGATCGATAGGGACTTCACAATTTCATTCTTGAGAATGTATGCAAGGGTATCCCTATTTTTCGGGCTAACTTTATCGGACTAACAGTTCAAGAAATAGATTTATTTTCTGTGAAGTCAAAGCAATAATATGCAAATTAATTAATAATGATAGCTAAATCTTTATTTATTTTAGGAAGTTATTTTGGATGCATAAAATTAGGCGCTCTTCAGAAGAGATTTTATCATTTAATAGTAGACATAGTGAAAAACAATGCGTAAATCCTTATGTCTACTTCTTAATAAATAGCACTTCTTATTTTTATGTAAAATAATAATAAAGTCTTTTATTAAATCATGCCACACACACACAATTTAACAGGGCGAAGTTCAGATGTTGGGCTACTCACGGCGACCCAACACTGCTCTTACACTTAACCCTACTAGAATGAAAAGAAATCAAAATCTAATTGGGAATTGTACAGGGTGGCCAAATAAGAATGCGAGGTACTGTATCTGGGAACCTGTCCATCGTAGAGGCTTGCGGTAAAAAAATTCATTACTAAAACGGCCACGAGAAAAACCTGGAAAATATTTCTAAGTTTCTGCAATGGCCGCTAGGGGACGTAACTGCAATCTGGAATCTAAAAACGATATCGGAACCTTTTTTGTTTGACAATTTTTCCTGTATCTCTAAAAATGAAGTGGTGGGGAGTATTCAAAGTTTTCCGTAAAGAACACCCTGTATCTTTGAAACGACTGAGCTGATTTTAACAAACTCGGGTTAATTGAAGAGGGGTATTCTTCGGCTACAAATATTATAATATTTGATAATATTGAAGTTTTATTAGTTTCACATATCGCCGCTTGAGGGCTTTTTTCGACATTCCGACAGAAATTGTTAATTTTCTCAAAATAATTAAATGCGTTGGTTTGATTTTTTTTTTCATAAAAAAGTAGCTAAATGATGCCTAAACAAGCTCGCGAAAACCGCATCTCGATACCTTGTTCCTAACCTAAAATTTAGGCCAAAGAAAATTTTGTACCCTCAAAATTTTATTTTTTTAAGCTAATTTTTTCGGAATTATTTTTATTATGTAATTTGTGGCCCTAAAGTGGATCGATTTAAAAAAGGAAGCTTTTAATGACGCCGTAAATGCCCGAAATGCTGGCCATCACGATATAAAAATATATATATATATGTATATGTATATCTCAAGATATCGAGATGCTTTTTCGCGAGTTTGTTTAGGCATCATTTAGCAACTTTTTCATGAAAAAAAAATCAAACGAATGCATTTAATTTTTTTGAGAAAATTAACCATTTCTGTCGAAATGTTGAAAAAAGCCCTCAAGCGGTGATATGTGAAACTAACAAAACTTCAAATAGTGTAATATATGCAGCTGAAGAATAGATCTTTTTAACTAACCCGAGTTTGTTTAAATCGGCTCAGCCGTTTCGAAGATACAGGGTGTTCTTTACGGAAACCTTTGAATACCCCCCACCACTTCATTTTTAGAGATACAGGAAAAATTGTCAAACAAAAATTTTTCAGATTATCGTCAACTTCAAAGACCGGACATTTTTTTGTTACGTTAATATAGCGGAATTCACAGAAACATCACTTTTTATATTCCAGATTGCAGTTACGCCCCCTAGCGGCCATTTCAGAAATTTAGTTTTTAGTAATAAATTTTTTTACCGCAAGCCTCTGTGATGGATAGATTCTCAGATACAGTACCTCGCATTCTTAGTTGGCCACCCTGTACAGAAAAACTTTATGAAAAACAAAATGTACGAAAAAAAAAAATAAATAAAAATACAATTGCAAATCTGATATTTCTGTTTTGTTTAGAAATAGAGATGGACTGGTCGATCTAATTTCACAATTGAACGATGACAATCCTGCTGTTGTGAATGAAGATAGCAACAGCTTAGAAAGCGAAAAACCGGTCATCGATACCGGTCAGACGGATTCAAATTCCAATTCTTCAAAAGTCGAAGAGCCAACCAAAGATTTAGGCGACGCGCCTGTTAATCCAAACGTTGAAGAGCCCCCCGAAACTGAAATTGATAATGTAACCCCTTCCGCAGACATCAATGTCGCAGTTGCCTTGGTGGATTCCTCTCAGAACGAATCGAATGGCAACGTTGCAAAAGTTAATGAGGAAGTGGGCGATTTTGAAAATAGCGTAGTCAATTTAAAGTTAAAGGTTAAAAAGAGCATGATAGAAGAACTAAATAAGGCAGATACGGAAAAGCTTAGCAACGAGGACGATCAAAAGCTCGCCCTTAACCTACGAATTAAGGCAGACTTACCAACCGTAACGACGGAAGTTAAAAAAGTCGAAGTAACCGGCGTCAAGGAGAGATACATACGTAGCGATTCGACGTCTAGTGCACCTCACCGAAAAGCCGTCGACAGCGCGGGGTTTGACCTTCACACGAATTACTTGAAACGCCCCATTCACGACGAGGAAGACTTGGAGGAACCCAGTTATGTGAAGAGACCGAGACTCGACCGGCCGACACTTTTGGGGAATAAGAAGAAGAAGTCTTATAGCGATGAGGAATACGATGAGGTTTCGGAGGAAATCGCCGAGCCGCTTATGCTTGTTAAAGGTGACGGAAATGGACACGATAACAAAACTGAAAATGGCCCTATTGTCGGTGACGTTATTGAGGAACCCATCATGCGTATAGCCGGTGAGGGTTCGGGGTTTGATTGTGAAACGGGTAATGATCACGCGCAAGCTTCTGTTAGTGCGTCATCAAAGGAAGATAAAACTGAAAATGTTGATATTATGAATAACGGTAACAGTGGTAACAGTGACATTACATTGAAGGCAAGTACAGTTGTTGATAATTCTGTTACAAATGCCGTACAGAATGTGCAATCGGATAAAGGGAAGGAGGATCAAGTTAATGCGGAACATGTGAAAGAGGTTCTGGAAGAGGAGCCCACAACTTCCAATAAATCGATTTTTTTCTTTGGGCCCGGGTCTCTCCAAATGAAGCCTACTCTCAGTCCGATTAAAAAAGACGAGTCTTTGTTGGCTGATGACTCGATCAATGGTGTTGAAGCGGTAATGAAGGATAAACCCAGGAGTATTGTGGGGAGTCGTCGAAAATCTGAAAAACCGGTTAGGAAAATTTGTGCTAGCGATTTAGATAGCAAAGAAACGTCGCCCCAAGAGTCTGGTGATGCCTTAGAGAAAGGATCGGATAATACAATAATTAACAGTAATCATGTTCCTATAAGTATTACTAAGGGGGAGGAATCGAGTGATAATTCTAAATGTGTTGATAATAATGTCGTTGAGGTGCCTATCAATAAGACAGATGTAAAAAGTGACAGATCGGGTCTTCCAAACGCAAAAAGTATATCCGCGGATAAACCAAAGAGTAAACTAGAAAATGTACTCGAGAAAATTAATCAGGGGAAGATTACAAAGAAGACTGATAGTTTAGATTTAAGTAATAAATTAATGACCAATAATGATAGTAAATCTGTAGATAAAGTAACGTATTCGATTCAATCGTCTATTGAAACAATTGATTCGACAGCTCTAGTTGCTAGTAAACTTTCATCCAAAGAACCTAATTCGATTATCACAAATAACATATCCGGGGAAACTCTTTCTTTAAATTCGACACTCGCAAGTATCGATAACACGGCACAATACAACAAATCTGACAATGAAGAAAGTTTGTCAAATCATGACGTGAACTTAAAAGACGATATTCCAAATTTGGAGGATAATTCGATTATGGACAAACCCCACTCTAACAGCATTGACTTATCACCTCCACCATTGGTGTGCGAGGTTTTGCAGATAGAGAGGGAGAATGAGACAGAGACTGGTAACGAGATTACCAAGACTAAAATTGGCAACAGTGCGGATGCGGCTTTAGATAAAATAAAAAATGATGCAGAAAAAAGTAGCACAATTGTCGAAGAAGCTAGCAATGGTACAGTCACCAAAAGAATTACTAGAAGAACGCGCAGTTGTGCGGATAAGGTTGCAGAATCTTCCGATGACATTGAGGGAACCATATCTTCAGAAGAAAACAAAAGCTCTAAACTAAGGCGAATTAAGAAGAAAGACAATCGAGCATCGACCGAAATTGACAGAGACTTGGAAGTATTGGCCACTAATAGAGAATTGCGTGAACGAAAAGTTATAGAAAACAAACAGAAATCCAAACCGAAATTAACACAAATAAAAAAAGACGAACAAAAACGAAATACTAAAAATAATAAAACGAAAAAAAACTCGAAGGATGACGAAGTGAAAGTCGTCAACTTGGAAGATGTAGAAGAACAGATTGTGTCCTATGAGATTGCACCAACAAAAAAATTAAAAGCTGGCAGCGCAGATGTTTCTGATCAGGAAAGCAAGACAACTGACGAGAAAAGTCACCAGAAGGAATCTGAGGATTCAGTTGAACCTGTTTGTTCACAAAAGCGAGTAGCGTTGTTGACGGACGAAGAAAAAACCGAGGAGACTGAACAAACTCCTAATGCCTGTGTAGAAGTAAATGATGGCGATAGCAGTGATATTGCGATAGTTCCCGAAAGCGATCCATTAGCGTGTTCGGAGGAAGATTCGAAACATTCCGAACCAGTGATGACATTGGCAACTTTTCAACTGGACGTTGAAGATACAAATTCCGCAATGAGAGTGACACGCAAAAGAGCTGCTCAACAGAGCGTAGATACACTAAGAGATTCGACTCAGAAAAAAATGGAGCGTATTAAAAAACATCGCGGAAAAAAGGCCAAGTTAAAGAAAAAGCGTTCCCCCGATCGCAAGTTACGTCGTAGTATCGAGGATAAAAAATCGAAAGATATCAGTAGCAGCGAAGACGATCCTCCCGATTCCTCCTCGCTTAGAGAAGACGACGAGGTCACTGGCAAACCGATTAAGGAGAGACGCGAATCGAATCGATCGTCTAGTCCGATGCAAAGTAGCGGAGATTCCAATTCCGCACGGCAAGAACAAAAGGAGAAAAAACCTCGACAAATTAGTAAGTTGCCTCAATCAAACTGTACGTTTTTCATTGTTTCCGCCAGGAAAAACTTTGCTCGGCTTGGAAATCTCAGAGGAGACCGAAAACATTCTGAGAGAGGACGCTCCGATGGGCGTGAGGCAGTCGCGGCGCATCGCTCAGCTGAAAATCAAGGAGGAAGCGGAACGAAGAAAATTGGAAGAGCTAACGCTGCAAGAGTTGAAAGAAGAAAAGATGAAAAAAGGGAAAAAGGATATCGATAAGGTACCTAATGTTGTCTTTATATATTAAATTTTCAAAAGTTTATAGGACTACAAATCCGAGAAGAAAAGGAGAAGTAAACCGGCGCAATCGGATGACGAAACGACGACCGGCGACGGTGAATCGGACGAGAAGAAGAAACGGAAGAAGAAAAGAAAACATCGAGACCCGCGAAAACACTTTGATGTGCATAACCCTTGGAAGTCGAGTAGTGGGTCCAGTTCGTCGGTAGAGGAAGAGGAGGAGGAAGAAATCGAAGAAGATGAATATCATCCTCTGGTGATCAAGTCGGATCACGAATTTTCACCCGAAAGTGATTTAGAGGGAGTAGAAGTACAGCCAATGAAAAGAGCGCGAACTGCTAGAAAAGGTAAAGTCGTATTCATTTATGTTTTGCTTTGATATCCATCTCTTTCAGTGAACTTTTTCTGTTATTCTCCATTATTTGTGTGTTCCTCTATTCACTTTTTCACGCCTTGTTCTTTTTTGTTGATTTAGCTTGTTTGTTTTGGTATTCCCATTAAAATCCATCCTGACTGTAGTGTATTGGTATGATTATTATAATGATAGTCGCTATGTACTACATTTTCCTTGAGAGTAAGTAGTCATGGAGGTGGGGGCGAGTTTTCTATCAGAAAACTATTCACCAGGAAAACTAACCCACAGGTAAATTCGCGGTCGCAATATTATTATTAGCCCGGGAAAATTCGCATCCAGAAGATTTAACCAAAAAATATCTGCTTTTTCTCTTTGTCCTATTCTATGGAAGGCTCCAGGGTGTTCATCAAAATAATGCGTCTAGAATATTCGTCTTTACGAAGAAGAGGAAACTTCACCCAATCGCAGCAAAAGATCGAACCCCCCCCCCCCCCCCCCCCCCCCCTCTTCTTCGGGCAACTCTCATGAAACGCAGTACAAGGAAAATTCTTGTTGAAAGGTTTACCAAGTATTGTCTTGAGGGAGAGAGCATGTTCATCTAGAGAGATTTTTAAGAGATAAATATTCTGGATGCGAAGGATTTGCCTCTCTGTTGTAGTAACCTCCCCTTTGCGCTGACTGCAAGATTAATACAAATTTATTATCTCCCTTTTAAATGTTATAGCAAATAAATTCTTCAAATATAGAGGGTGTTAATGTCTTGCAAATATTTCAGGGATTCATTACTCATAAACATAAAAAATAAATGCAAATATGTGCATAACTAAATAAATGGCCTAAATGGCGTCGTTTGGATTAAAACTTTGCCACCCTGTATAACTAAAACAACGCCTTCTAAAACCATGCATACAGGGTGCCCATTATGTATGGACTATCATATATCTCACTAAATGTTGAATGTATACAAAATGACTTTGTTGATCAATGGTAACGCATTGGACTATAAAGCCGGAGGTCGGACGTTCGAACCTGGACTGAGGTAAGAATTTTTCATCTGCGACAGAGATGGGAATTTCCTTAGACAGTTTCGAGCATTCTGCCGGCTACTCCAAATTAGGTTTTCCTGCAGTTTTCCTAATTCGTAAGGTAAATACTGGAGTAGTAGAGAACAACTTAAGACCTTCTGCAAAGGCCGCCCCTAAAAAGCATGCGGGCCACTCTGTAATTGGGCGCAAAACTGTTGAGAGCCCAGAACAAGAGAGGGAAACATAAATAAATAAAAATAAAAAATAAATTTTTCTATATGAAAATTGTTTAACATTTTATTTCCCATAATAAAGCAGCATCTAGTTGTTTTTATTTCAGAAAACAAATGAGTAACGAAAAACAATTGAATTTTTTTAAATGGCAGTGCATCTTTTCATTAGGCTCATTTGATAGACATTTTTTTTTTCTTTTTTCGATGATATAACATGTTAGTACCCTTATTCAAGAAAATTTTTCAAAAAATTTTTTTATCATTTCATCAATAACATAAATCTAGATATCCTACATCAAAATAAAACAAATGAACGTGTACGTTAATAATAATAATTTCCTGATAGCGTTGGCTATTGTGCCCATAGCTATGTTGGTAAGTATGAATTACATACTATCCCTAGATTTCCAATGTGCGTGTGTGATTTTTTTTTTTCAGGACCCTACATAAATTCACCAGAAACAGACACTAATCGTTACTTGATTCTAATCCGTGCGATTAGTTAACCAGGCTCTCACAAGAAACACCGACCATAATAATAATATTTATTCGTGATTTTGCTAAAAAAAGAAGCTTAACACAAGTCATAGAATTTCTTATTAAACCTTGTAGACAAAACGAAATTAGCGGTTAAATGACTTTTATCGCAATGAATGTTCAAAATATCCACCATTAACTGCAAGGCAGTGGCATAACCTATCACAAAAAGCTTGAAATAAAAATTAATTTCTTCTAAAGGGGTGCATTTAAAAAAATTCAATTGTTTTTGGTTACTCATTTGTTTTCTGAAATAAAAACAATGCAATGCTTACTTATTATGGGAAATAAAATGCTAAACAACTTTCATACAGAAAAATTTGGTATACATTCTATATTTACTGAGATATATACTATATTCCATACCTAATGGACACCCTGTATATATTCCTTTCTTATTTTGATGAGTACTTCCATATATACACCTTACAATTAATGCTTTCCATTTGAGTGCGTAAAGCGCTGGTGCAGTTCGTTCGGAGCAGCTCATTTTGCAAGTTGTTCGTTTTGCACACATTTGAAACTAGTCCAGGGAATAGAGGGTTTTAACTTGCAAAATGAGAAGTAGTTCCAATTTCTTTTGCATCTCATAGACAGTCATCTGGTGGTTAAGAATTTAAGTTTTCGACCTCCCACCCCTTGTGCTTCCCCCGTACCACCCCAAAAACCCCTGAAATTTGGTTGGTTTCTTAGTTTTTCAATCATGTCTTTTTAATGGTTCACTTTAGAAAAAAATATTGATATCAGAAATTGTAGACTATAACATTCTACACAACTTTTATGCACACTACTTTTTTGTGAAATGTTTATTAAACAAGTTGTAAATCAGCATATGCATGATTAAAGCGCATTTTTGGTAATACAGGTCAGTATTTTATTAGCGAAGTTTAAAATTATCGATCTCACGAGTAATTTTGGCTGCGTTAAATAATTAATTTTATTTAATTCCAATTGACGTACGTCTTCATTTTGTAAAACAAATCACAAAGTAAATAATAAGTTTTTATACTGGTAGCGCTATCTAACGGTAAAATTATAGTACCTCCGAAACCCATATCGAAATTATTTTCTTCAATTATCGATCTCACAAGTAATCTAACTCAAAATAGACTAGTGCCTGCACATCTACACTATAGCAGAAAGCTTTTAGTGAAAATTTGACGCGGACAGCCGGCCTGCCAGCAATAACGAATATAAAAGGTATTTTTTTCAAAAATGCGCTCAAAAGATATAGAGCTTGAGAGTTGGTTATATTTTGCAGAATTCTGATATTTCTATGTAGATGTTTTAACAAAATTTCATACTTGATAATCAAGAATTTTACGACAAAATATCTTGAATTTATTGTAGTAAAAATCCCTCTACTCTGCACCCTTACCAAAGGGGATGCATAATAATGAAACTTGCAACCCTTGCTAGTGAGGATATTTGAATCACTGTGAGATTGTAGCGCTTTCTAATATACGTTTGAAATTAAAAAAATGTCTCCCCCCCCCCCCCCCCCCCCCGGTGGGAATAGAGAGAGTCCAACGCGCTTATTACATATGTTTTCTATTCATCTTTAAATATCTATTCCTACCGCGGAGGGGGGCGGGGGGTGAAGGATATAAAGGATGAACTTGAACTGAAGTGAGATAATTTTTTTGTTTTAAACGTATATTAGAAAGCCCTACAATCTCACAGTGATTCAAATATCCCCACTAACAATGGTTGAAAGTTGAATTATTATGCATCCCCTTTGGTAAGGGTGCAGCGTAGGGGGATTTATACCACAATAAGTTCAAGATATTTTCTCATAAAACTCCTAATTATAGAGATAAAGTATGAAATTTTGTTAAAACATTACATAAAAATTTCAGAATTCTGAAAAATATAACCAATTCTCAAGCTCTATATCTTTTTTAATAAACATTTCTCAAAAAAGTAGTGTGCATAAAAGTTGTGTAGAATTTTATAGTCTACAATTTCTGATAACAATAAATTTTTGTAAAATGAACCTATAAAAAGATATGATTGAAAAACTAAAAAACCAACCAAATTTCTTTGGTTTTAAGGGTGGTATGGGGGAAGCACATGGGGTGGGAGGTCGAAAACTTGGATTCTTAACCACCAGATATTCTTTCATGGCATGCAAAAAAAATTGGAACTACTTCTCGTTTTGCAGGAAATGGTCCATTTTCAGTCTCTATTTCCTGGACTAAACTAAGAAATTGAAGAAACGCTATCATTAGACATTCTACATTTATCTTTTTATTTTATAAGAATTAGGAATTAAGATTATTAAACATAAAGAAGTTGCATAAACCCACCCTAAGTGTAATTCAACACTGACGAAACACTGTCCCAATTTTACTGTACAATGAAAAAAACTGATGTACTGCGAAAAAATTTAAATTAAAATTTAAAATTGTTTAATTGTAACTTCAAACAATATTTTGCTGTCTACTACAATAATTTGAGAACCTGTGAATATAAAATCTGGTAGGCGTGCAATACTCAATTTGCAACTGTAAGCGAATTTCACCTCTACAGATGCACCACTTACAATAATTGTTTGTCAATTCATTCTTCTCTATTTTGCTGATTATTTCTTGCTTTAATTGTTTTATTATTCCATCTGCCTGTTTTTATTATCTCCAGTACTTTTTGAAGTATCTTATTTCAATCATTGTCAGCCTTTTTTTTTATGTTCTGTGTAGGCATATAATGGTATTGTGACAATGTGTAGCTTCTCTTGTTTTGTTCATATGTTTAGTTTACTTGCTACTGTATGTAGTATGTTCAAATAATTGCGCTTTTGTTTTAGAATCTGATACCGAAGAGGAAGTAGACGATTGTCCATGTCAAAAATGTGGTCAATCGGATCATCCAGAGTGGATTTTATTATGTGATAGCTGTGATTCGGGTTGGCATTGTTCATGTTTACGTCCCGCTTTGTTAGTCATTCCTGAAGGAGACTGGTTTTGTCCTCCTTGTCAGCACGTAAGTATTCTATTTTAATTTGTACTTTTAAATTAAAAACAAAATTTAGGCAACATTAGTGAAGAAACTAGAAGTCCAATTGCTAGATTATGATAAACGTGTAAAGAAGAAGGATATGGAAACACGTCGAAAAGAAAGATTGGCATATGTCGGTATAAGCTTAGACAATGTTTTACCATCGAAAGAGTACGATGAACATCGTATTAAAGTAAAGCATGTTAAGGAAGAACGGAGCGATGGCGATGATGATAAAGACGCTAGCGAGGGGTCAGAATCGGATGATTCCGATTCCGAATCGGAGTCCGTTTCTAGTTCTGAGAGCGACAGTGAACCAATTTATCAGTTACGAAAACGTAGACAGGCTCACAGTTATCGCTTCAACGATTATGACGACTTAATAAACTCGGCCATACAGGTAGGCGGGTTAACCGCATAATTCAATCTAACGGGTTTACTTGTAGGATGAACTAGATGCCGTTAAAGGGGCGGGAAACCAAGGTCGTGGCAAAGATATATCGACCATTGTTAACGCAGAGAAAGCGGAAACCCTTTTAAATGACGCGCAGGTCGGGGTCGATCCGGTCAATCGCGACGATCAACCTACCGATCTGACAATGAAAAGCAGCTTATCCGATAATTTGAATCCGATTATTGAACCCCTTCCTCCTGTTGTTCCTCCCGATTATGATAAAAAGCCGGACATCGAGGAATCGGACGACGAGATCGTTCGTCCGGTGCGTAAAATTATTAGTAAAAAGAAGCATAGGAAGTTGAATAGTTTGGACGTTAGTAGCGGTGACGATGCAGAGTCCGACGAGGATTTTAAGGGGTCCAGGTATGGAGCTCGCCTGTAGTGCTTAATTATCGATTTGAAACCTAAATTCCCCCAAATTGGGGCTTGTTTGAAATTGATAGTTCGCCACATCCTGTGAAACGTCGAGACTAGGTGGATTGGTATGTGCCATAAAAAGTTTTCCAGCAAAACATACGGTTTGAAAATTATTTCGATTTTTAGAAGTTCTGCTAATAGGCCAGTCATTGAGGATTTTTTACCTGGAAATAATTCGAGAACTACTGAAATTTTATATGCTCGAGTGCGTAGAACTAAAATTCGTAAAATGCACAATTCAAAACTTGCCGCCGGGGCCGCGCCGTCAAAAGCGGTTTTCCGCCGATATCTCCAAAACTGCGCATTTTACGAGAAAATATGTGATGAGTAAAATTAAAGAGACGAAAATTTCCTACAAGAAATTGGCATATTTTCACTAAAATTAGCCCTTACGCAGAAAAGCAGGAATTTTTAATAACCAGTGGCGTATATTTTATCTAAATAATTCATTAATCAAATTGATTAATCAATTAGTCTATGATCAATTAATTTTAAGTAACATATAACTATCTTTGTGTCGGAATGTATAGTAAAATGTTTGACCAAAAAAGGGACTGTGTGAAAACTTTCAGCACGTTTTTAATATTATAGCTTTCACACAAGTGTAGTGTGCTTTTGATGACACTTTATTGTCTAATTTGTTGACAATTGTATGCCATACATTTGCAGATGGTTTGTTTATATAAGATCATCTTTGTGTTGGAGAAGAATGTGTGTGTCAGCTTCATTTTTTCAATTACAGCCTTTTGCGGCGTGTTGTACCAAATGTAAAATAATTGAAGTTACAATTAGCATCTGTCTGTGGTGTACTTAGTCATTCGTGAGATTGGGTCTCCAAATGGTAAAGAACTCAGGGGATAACTGTTATATAAGTCCAAATCTGCTAAATCCGATTGCACTACATGAAATAGATAAGAATTCCCGCCGTTGTATATACAAGATAAGTGTACGGAGTTAGGAAAAAACATATCGGACCTAATCTCGTGTGTTTAGTGGAACACCTTGTATATTTTAATCTAAAATGGTAGCAATTAAATATTTTATTTTATTTTTGAGTGGGCGGAGTACCGCCATCCATTGGGCTCGTGTGTTAGAGAGAGAACGCATGATTTTTGCCCAAAAATGGCGGAAGTTACCAGATTCTAGTAACTTTAATGTTAGGGATTGTTCCACATGTTTGGAGATATCTGTATATATTTTTATAAAACATGACAGTACTATGAAGTTAGGTTATAAAAAATTACAACTATTCAGATTTTATTTGTCAATTTTTTTAAGTTGGCAGCAAATTTGCCCAAAAGTGGCGGATGATTGCGGTACTTTTTATATCTAGTGACTTTCTCTACCAACCCAACCCACTATACATTTACAAATATCTATGCCCGAACGCCGACTCGGACCAGGGACCCAAAGTACCGCACTCCAGCTTAAACTGAATTGTGCCACACGGCCTGGTACAAATATAACACCATGAATGATATTGGTTTTGTATGCGATTTTTTTAAACTATTACTTTAAGTCATAGTAGGCTATGAAAAACAATCTTTTATTTCTTTCGCAAGTTTCTTTAATTTTTTTTTACTTTCTTGTGCCAGACAACGGCTTCCTATGATTACCAGGCTCCGCTGTAAGAGCTGGCAACGCCGCATCAATACCGAACAGTTGGCCTACCATCTCTACTGTTGTGTTACTGAATTATTAAGAAACCAATGTAGAATATTGCTTATTTTTGCCATTTTCAAAAGTGGTAAAGGTAACAGATTATTTCTGACAATATTATAGCACGATGAAGACTGCTGGTACAAAAGAAATGCATTTAAAATTGTGGTTGCTGAATAATTTTTACGTTTATTTGTAGGTACACCAGTTTTAATTGTTCCAACAAGAAATCGATTTGTTTTCACTTAAATTTTCCAAAAGTAGGTACCTATATTACTTGCATTACTCACAAAATGAGATATATCACTTATTTTCATAATTTCATAAACTTTTAGCGAGAAGGTAGATGTGAATCGTGACAATCCACATACCTAGTTACCTAATATATTCTCTGAGACCACCGATTTAACTCTTGACTTTGATTTACTCATGACCACTGTGACTCTGTAAGCGTCTAATTGTTCAAACACATCCAAACCCTCAATTCTGTATCAACTGTTACACTTGATGAAACTACTTTGCAAATCAATGGCACCACTAAAAAATTCCGTCTAACTTTTTATAAAACCTTTTTGCAGCCAAATATCCTGCTTTTCTTTGAATTTTTTTGCAATTTTCTGTCTTCTTTCTAAGGGATCGGTCCGAGTTGAACTTGTGTTTTCCTGGTCCTTCGGAAGCTTGAATCCCAGTCACATAACTGCCGGCCCGTGTGGCGCAGTTCAGTTGAAGCTGGACTGTGGTGCTAGGGTCCCTGGTTCGAATCCGGGTTCGGGCATGGATATTTGTAAATGTATAGTGGGTTGGGTTGGTAGAGCAGCCTTGGCTGAAACCCCGCCCACTCAAAAATAAAGGCAAAATAAATAAATAAATAAATAACTATTTTCTTTCATGTCGCTAGCGTAAGTGCTATTGCAATTGGGCACACAACGTTTGGGAGGCATTTAAAATTAATTTTAAAATCATTAGACTCACTTTGCATAAATTTGCACTGACACTGACATAAAATCATAGGCCAACGAAACAGTGTTGTCAAATTTCATACAATTTAGCCTGGTAATTATAGGAAGCCGTGGCCAAACTCTTTGTTAAAATGTTTCCAGCTACAATGTCAACACAGTTTAGTTTCTAGATCAGCTTTTGTTTCATATCGCCTACTGTGGTAAAGTAGTATAGAAAGTACCGCAATCATCCGCCATTTTTGGGCAAATTTGCTGCCAACTTAAAAAAATTGACAAATAAAATCTGAATAGTTGTAATTTTTTATAACCTAACTTCATAGTACTGTCATTGTTTATAAAAATATATACAGATATCTCCAAACAGGTGGAACAATCCCTAACATTAAAGTTACTAGAATCTGGTAACTTCCGCCATTTTTGGGCAAAAATCATGCGTTCTCTCTCTAACACACGACCCCAATGGATTGCGGTACTTTCTATATTTAGTGACTTTAATATTATCTATGATATTACTTTTCCGCGGTCATATATGGGTAAGTAAATATTAATAATGTTTAATGTTTTCATCAAAGAAAAAAGTGTTGTCGTTGTCTGGGTTGTTTTTAGTCCGATAACTCAACATTGAATGGGACAATTATTATTATTATTATGGACAGATCTTACTGAAATTTTAACATTAGCATCCTTTACCAAAGGCAAATCGATCGATTATCTCCTAAATCAAATTGAATATCCATGTAGTTAATTGCCACATCGATTAGAGACTTCGCTCAATAAAAGGCGAAGTGATACATGAGAAGTAAATACAATAAAAGGAAACTGCTGGGTCTCAACAGATGCTACCGTGCGGAAAAGTTAAGTTTTGAAAAAACACATTTTTTGATATTGAAATTGATTAAAGAACAACTTCAAATACTCATTTAAAAGCGTGAAACTAGAATCCAAACTTTAAGGTTTTTTTGACGGTGGATTACAGCATTGAATATCAAAATAGCCGTACTTAAGAGGACTATACATCGAAGGTAATGGGATTTTGCAAATAATGGGCAAATGCTTTGAAAGAATTATCTGAAATTTTTTTACTCGTCATTTCTAATTCATAGTCTATCATAGAAAGTGTTTATAATGCTATAGTAAAGGTAGTATTTTATTATTATTAATGGAAAAAAGAAATTCTCCTTTCAAGCGACTGTGAGGTGGCGCCACCTAACGAAGGTAACCAAAAGTAAGTGCTAAATGGTCGTCATTAGGGATAGAAAGAAAACCAGTGATGCATGGTTTTCGTACGTAGGAGCGTGACGGTGTGGTTAGAGCTGCATATTAATTAGTCATGTGCAAGGTCACGTGCTATAGGTATGGCATGGCGCTCTTAACGTAAAATTAACATAAATAATCACAAACCAAACAAATTAAGTCCATAATGCTGGCTTAAAGGGATTGAATATAACAATATAACTGATTAATTTAACTAATAAAATTTGAAAATTGCCATGTCTATCACCATACAAGATGGCGACGACAAAAATAAAATCTTAAAATTAATTGATCATAGACTAATTGATTAATCAATTTGATTATATAATTAAATGATTAATGAATTATTATTTATACAAGTATTATACCTGTTGTCACACACTTAGTAAATGTTTGCATAGAACGTTGCGATTCTCCACATCTATGGAAAACGTCAATCGTGCGCCCGATTCCAAAAATTTCCTCTCCTAAAGCGTATTCTGACTTAAGACCCATCAGTATTTTACCCTTAGTGTCTAAGGTGTTTGAAAAAGTGTTATTTAATCAAATTCAGAATTTCTTAGATTTATCACGTATTCTTCCCGAACATCAATCTGACTTTATAAGGGGATACAGTTGCGAAACGGCATTACTTAAAGTTACTGACGACATTTTGTCTGCTGTCAACAAGTCCAAGTTTGTAGTCTTAATATTATTGGACTTCTCGAAAGCGTTTGATACGATTGATCATGATATTTTATTAGCAATACTACATTATATTGGCTTTGACCCAAATTCTATTACACTTTTCCTTCATTATTTAAAACACAGGGGCCAATTAGTTGACATTAATGGGAAAACTTCAACAATGATTAATTTGCGATGTGGCGTTCCCCAGGGTTCTATTTTAGGGCCTCTGCTTTTTTCAATATATACTGCTAATATTATAAACAAATTAAAATATTGCAATTACCACCTGTATGCTGAAGATACGCAGTTATATTATGCATTTTCTAAAACTGAAGTTGAGAAGGCAAACGGTGAAAAAAACGAAGATTTAAATACCTTTCTAAATTACGCTGAACAACATTCATTACATATTAACCCCAGTAAATGTAAGTGGCTATTATTTGGGGCATCACACAACACAGCTACTCGTGCCTAAGTTTCCTCACTCTTAGATATAAAAATCGGAAATAAAAAATTAGAGTTGGTTCAGGAAGCCAAAAATCTCGGGCTAAGCGTCAATTTCAATTATCAAACGCATATCAAAAATTGTTCACAATGGGCGTTTGCTGGTCTTAGATATATACATCGAATTAAAGGTTTACTTTCTCGCAATTCAAAAATTATGCTCTGTCGATCCCTCGTGCTATCCCATTTTTCATTTTGTAGCGCAATGTATGGCCCCTGTCTTTCTAAATTTCTTGAAAGAAGAATACAGATTATTCAAAATTCATGTGTTCGTTTAATTTACGGAATTAGGAGGTTTGAAAGGGTTTCTCACAAGTTAAAGTGTATACCGTGGCTAAACATGGAAAAAAATCGACTTCTCTACTCTGCCACTGCATTTCACAAAATTATCTTGTTTAAATCACCACCTTATTTATATAATAAAATTACATTTCGAACAGATGTTCATAATATTAATGTTCGTCGGAAAGATTTGATTACCATTCCTAACCATAACTTAGAACTATTTCAAAAATCATTTTCATACAATATAGCCAAGATCTATAACTCACTTTCGTCGAACGTTAAACAATTAACACCGTCTAAATTTAAACAAAAAGTTTACCACGATGTTTTAACATCTTATAGTTACTAATCTACTTTCAAGTTACTTTGTTTCTAAATTTTATTTGTGTATTTTTGTTCTTGTTAATTTAGACCATCAAAAATTTTTTATTAATTTTAGTTTGCTATTGAACAGGTTAAGTGGAAGAGCACAAAGGGCTGCATGCCTCTTAGTGAACTTCGCCTTTTGGACGCCAAGTTGAATGTATAATATTGGTATTGTTTATATATTTGTCATAGTGTGTCCAAATAAAGTCATTATTATTATTATTATTTTGATAAAATATACGCCACTGGTTATTAAAAATTTCTGCGTAAGGGCTAACTTTAGTGAAAATATGCTAACTACATCTTTTGTAGGAAATTTTCGTCTCTTTAATTTCGCTCATCACATATTTTCTCGTAAAATGCGCAGTTTTGGAGATATCGGCGGAAAACCGCTTTTGACGGCCATCTTGGCAAGATGGCGGCAAGTTTCGAATTGTGCATTTTATGAATTTCAGTTCTACGCACTCAAGCATACAAAATTTCAGTATTTCCCGAGTTATTTCCAGGTAAAGATCCTCAATGACTGGCCTATTAGCAGAACCTCTAAAAATCAAAATAATTTCCAAACCGTATGTTTTGCTGGCAAACTTTTTACGGCACAAACCAATCCACCTAGTCTCGACGTTTGTGCCGTCAATATCCTGTTAACTTCATGGACCCAAACGTCTCTTGTTAATCTGCAATACATTGTAGTAGTGCCGATTCCGAGGAAGAGGAGGACGATTATGTTGGTAGCGAAAGTAGTGACGATTTAGAAGTGAGAAAACCAAGGTCACACAAAGGTGGTCCAATTCGTAGATCGACACGCGCTCGTATATCCCGATATGATCGCGATTTTAGTAAGTATACGCTTACGGTTACGTTGATGTAATGACTATACGATCATTTAAGTCAATGATGACAGCGATTCGGATGGATCGGGGCCTAGACGAAAAAAGAATCGATTTGTTTGGGATGAATCGGAATCTGAAGAAAGTGACCGGTCGTGGGGTAGAAGGAGACGCAAAGCGGCTACTGCTCGGTAATTTTGAAAAGATCGTTTCTATATCTTTGCTTCTTACGATAATTGTAGATCGAGACGAAAACCTTCGGACAAAGCAAAACGGCCGAAAAAGAAAAAGAAGAAGATCGGAGAAGACTCTGATCCCGAAGCTTTCAAAAGTCGACCGAATATTAAATTAGGAGGTGACGATGAGGAAGTCGGACGTCGGACGAGAGGGAAAAAAATCAATTATCTGGAAGCATTAGGTTCAGACAGTGACGATGTAGGTAAAATATTACAGAAATTAATGTTAATTTTGTTCTTTTAGGATGGCAGAAGGAAACCGCCTAGAATTGAAGAGAGCGACGACGAATATGCCGTGCACGAAGACGAAGAACTTCAGCAGAGATTGCAAAATGAAAACGATAGTGACGAATCCGGAGTTGAAAATGTTTTACGTGATCTTCCATTACCCTTAAACCCCAGGCCGAAACCAAAGGGTCGTGGAAAGGCGGGTCTGAAGATTCCTAGAAAACCGAAGGATCCCACCTTGGAACTTTTCCCACCAATAATGACAGATTTACCTCCTACAAGTACCATAGCTCGCACAGAAATACCCATACTGCAACAAACTTTAGAATCTCAATCGCTGATACCTTCACAAATCATTCCTCCGCCATTAATAATGGATCCTATGTTGCTACACGAGCACGAGTCTCAAGATTTGGACGACGAACCGAATCCCATCGAGCAAATTAACAAAAACGTCGAACAAATGAACGAGCAGGAAATGGAAAAAATGATGGAAGAAGAAGAGTACGCCAATAGGCAACTTCAACTCGTCGCTTTGCAAATAGAAAAGGAGAAGAAACGAAAAGAACGAGAAGTACAGAGGTTAGAAAAGCTAATGCAATTAGAGCAAAAAGTACCAAAGAAGCGTGGCCGAAAACCAAAAAACCCAACGCTCAATGCGTCCGCAAATCTAATAAAGTCATTCCCAGATTCCGCACTGTTACTGTCTAGTAACGCCGAACTTTCGGAACCGCCCGGCATTTCTCTTCCGATGTTCAGCGAATTAGCGCCGACCTCGATGAACGCGGATGGCAGTCCGAAAAAGCGGAGGGGTAGAGGTAAGGGAAAGAAGACGTTGGCTGCCGAAGCAGCAGCCGCGGCAGCCTCTAATAAAAATATTGATATGGAAATTGGACTGGAAGGTCCAACTTCGTCAAGTAGTAACACTGTTTCACCTGCTCCAGATTCACCGTTGCACGGGAGCAAATTGGGCATTGCCGCGCCGCCGCAACCATTTTCTCAAAGTCAACCCACTCCATCTGTAATTACCAGAATGTTGCAGTCGCAGCCGGGTCAAAACAGTTTCCCACCTTCCAGCGTTTCTAAATACTTCGGCGGACATGGTAATGATCCACAGCTTGGCGCTTACCATCCAGGTACGTACAACGTTACACTCAATTGTATGTGTCTGTGTTTAGCAAGAAACAGCATGAAGAATATGGTCTTGGTATCTATACACATGTGACTAGTAAGGTGGTGAGTGGATATGTTTCTGGGAAAAGAGTAGTTCCAGGTTTTATTTGTGTATTTCCAAAAAATTTGACATTTTAATAGGTTTAACTGAGTAGTCTAAATCTCTCTTTAACAGTAAGAGGGGTTAAAATAAACACCAAGAGTAGGTAAAGAGAAACAAATATCTGTCATTCTTATTAGAAATTGGATGCCGAGCACGAAATAAAATGAAGTTCAAAACTGATTGTTTCCATGGAAACGAGGGGGAAACCTAAACTTGCTATTTTAGACATTAGTAAAGTTTTGTATTATACATGATGATAAAGGGAAACTACCCACGTAGCACCAATTGTATTCAAACGTTATTGGAGATTGGATATACTATGTATCCATAAATAACATTATGGAACTTCGGGGAATCTCCATTGGAAAGACATGTCATGAATGTAATGTCAAAACTATATCCATATGTACAAACACTGCATATTCATGTGTTCATACATTGCATATCCATGAGTAGGGTTGCCATCCGTCCGGGTTTCCCCGGATTTGTCCTAGTTTAGGGGGTGACCGGGGAGCGTCCGGGCGGGGTTTCATTGGTAGTCCGGGTTTTAGGCTACTGAGATATCTACGAGTTTCTGTCAAAACAAGATAAACTTTTAAGGCGCCAATCAGCTTTGGTTACAATTTTTTAAAACACCGAATCCTCATTAAACTTGGAGTTATTGAAAATTGTCTGGTGCTTTTTTTGTATTCCTGCTCATAATGCCAACGTTGAAAGAATATTTTCACTAGTGGCATAACAGGGGACCAATGAAAGGAATTTTTCCAATACCTACATTGTTTTATTGAATTTAATTCCTAATTTTTGTAAATTAACAGGTAATTTTAATCCCTAGAGATTAAAAAAATTTTAATCCCTCATTTTTGTTTTCTTGTAAACAATTCATGGAAAAATGGATTTAAATCGATCGGTATTGGAAAAAATAGTATAATCAACACTGGATTAAACTACTTTTTGTTTCCTTAAAAATAAATATTAAAAAAAATATTAAATTTAAACCATTCTCTCAGGAACAAAAACTCTTTTTAATCCCTTGTTCCTTTATAATATTATTGAATATTGAAACAGTCTAGTCAGCTCGCTAGTCAGTGATCAAAATAAAGTAGAATTTCAAAGACTATTTCTTTAGACAATATTTTTTATAAAATGCAGTTGATATGTCCGGGTTTATAATCCCTAAATCCGGGGTTTTCACGCTTCCTGTCCTAGTTGGCAGAGTTTTGAGATGGCAACCCTATCCATGGTACATTCCACGTCTACATGTACAGAGTGTTTTTTTGGGAGCTTTAGTTAAACGTTTCTGGGAAAGTAAAATAGGTAGGTTTTTGAAATTTTGTACTTAGGAGTTACTCTGAAGGGCGAATCAATGTAAAATATTTTTAAAATGGCCGCACTTCCGGAAACACCGGAAGTAGATAGTAACTTCGTTATTTTAAATGGCAACCCATATTTTTTATTAGATTTTTGGATTCTACGTTAAATTTCAGTTCTTTTGATACCAATATGTTGATATCTGCCATTTATGGTTTTTAAGTTATTTTGACTTTATGAAAAAAAATGGCGGATGCAGATGGTACCTTGATAATCGATTACTTGAAAATGGTTACAGTCATGGCAACCAATTTTTATCAGTGCATAGAGAATGAATAGGGCTTTCTTTTAGTGTACTTAAAAAAAAGTTAAGTTGCGTACAACCGCACCTATGGAGATCCAAATTTAAGAAACTTTAAAGTCTATAAACTCAGTTTTTTTTTAAATGAAATGACCATGTTTTTACTATTGCATGAGATAAGAGAATCGAAATTGGCATATTTTGATATTACATGTTCCTATAGCTATCTTTAACAGTTTCTGATTTATTCCCATTTCATTGATTTGATGCGATTTTTTTCGTATTTTCTTTTTAGTAGTTGGCCATGATTTTATAACAATCGAATTTTAAACAAATCAAGGAATGGATGCGTTAATATCATTGATTCTAGTCTAAATGATTCATTAATAAATAAGTTTTTTGTTAAGAATATAGGACGGAAAATTTTTGAAAAATCTAGACAGAGTCGTTCAACTGAATTTCTTAAACAACGCATAAGTCTGAAAATTAAGAGAGGTAATGCGATATCTGTTCTAGCAACAATTCCATACCAAAACTGTTTCAACGAAGTTTTTTATATTTTGCATTGAATTTATTTTGTTAATCTTGCATTTGCAATTCAATTCATTCTCCTCAATATTCTCTTGTAGAGCTTTGTATCACTTGTGCTTCAACGGTTTGTAGTGCATTTGGGGGTACAACATTTCCAAAATTCATGCAATTTCGTTCCAGTGTTCGAATGAATGTACGGCAAGCATGTGCCGCAATTCTGTCCATTTCACCATAAATAACAATTAAATTCCAAAATAGGTGAAACCACTGCCAGTCATTTTTCGATTATTGAAAAACTTATGTTAACCTATAACAGTGGGTGACGGATTAGTGTCACTAGATTTGTTTAAAATTCGATTGTTATAAAATCATGGCCGACTACTAAAAAGAAAATCCGAAAAAAATAGTGTCAATTCAATAAAATGGGCGTAAGTAAAGATAGCTATAGGAACATGTATTGTCAAAATATTCTAGTCTATAACTTTTGATTGAGAAGTCTGATCGAAAAAGTACGAATTGATTTGGATTCTACGCATCCAAAATAATAAGAATAAGTGTTTTCCCGAGAAATTTTGGTGTAGTCGATTTTTGTTAAAAAGGAAGGTTATACACTGCCTTTTTTTGAGCCTCGAAAAAAAATTGTCTCAGATCGACCCAGAAAAAAAATTTTCTTATAGAATGTGGCCTGTAGAATCCATAATTTCAAACAGTTCCAAGATTGGGCTACTAGTTCAAAAGTTACAGCCCTTTGAATTTTTTTTCGAAATTAGTTTCTAGTCTATAACTTCTGATTGAGAAGTCTGATCGAAAAAGTACGAATTGTTTTGGATTCTAAGCACCAAAATTAATAAGAAAAAGTGTTTTCCCGAGAAATTTTGGTGCAGTCGATTTTTGGAAAAAAGGAAGGTTATACACTGCCTTTTTTTGCCCGGTGTTTCCGGAAGTGCGGGCATTTTGAAAATATTTTACATCGATTCCGTCTTCAGAGTAACTCCTAAGTACAAATTTTCAAAAAACCTACCTATTTTAGTTTTCCAGAAACGTTTAACTAAAGCTCCCAAAAAAACACCCTGTATATCCAGTACATTCCCGCACATCCATATAAGGTACAGGGTGAGTCAACGATCGCGCGGAGTAACTTAATGCCTTGAAGATAAGATTTTTCGATAGAGTGCTCTTGTATTATATATATGGTTGAATATTCTTCACATTTTAAAAATATTTGGAAGTATACAGGGTGCGCTCACAAAATAGAGCGCCAAAATGGTACATCCGAAAAACTAGTAGTGTTACGGATAATTCGATTTGTATGAAAAATTGGGCATTTGCAAGCGTGAGTATATTGTCAAAATTATTACTTAAATTTTGATTCCGGGTTTTATATCTTTTATCCTGGGTTAAGTAAAAGTCAAATAAATACATCTACTATGAAACATTAAAAAAACAGCTTACATGGTATTTTTTTTGGTAGGTCCAAAGTTATTAAAAAATCTCACTTTTTTTTAATGGAATACCCTGTATATTTTTCTGTCTAGCTCCTCCAAAAACCTTCAACTTTTGAGTATACCTATCTCTGATAGTTTTCGAAATATCTTGGTTTTCCTGGTAAGTCATATGTAATTTACATAATAACTAGGTGGCCATGCAAAAAAAGGCAATTTTTATTTGCTTCGTCCACTGCCTACTTACTTTTCCCTTGGTACATTCGTATTGTGAGTTTTTGGGTCAATTGAAAAAGTATGCGTATGTTGATACATTTCATGATTAGTTACACTGCAGAGTCACCGCCTTCTAAGTTTTATAATAACTGAGATATTCAATTTTTACTGGACGTCTACTTTTTGAAAAAATGACAGATTACGGCTGAATGACTCGTTTTAGATATCGTGTAATACATAAAGTCACACTAAAATTGACCAATAAATCGAAATATGCAATAAAATACAGGGGGTTCCATTTAAAAAAATGCAACTTTGATATAAATCTCCCTGTATAACAATTGCAATTTCGTTGAAAATATTTTTAGGTTGTAGCCTTAAGGATCCTTCAACATGCCCTGACAATAAATTTTAAATATATGCGTTAATAAATCCACAATCTTCCCCCCACACCTGGTCTATTTTCCCAGGCTTTAAGAGCCTTTTTAATTGTTTAAACATAACACTATTTGTCCATCATATCGGAGACAAGCGCGACGGGCAACCCGTACCTAGCAAAACAATCTCTTACATTTTCAATTGTGGTGGTTTCATACACCTGTTGGATATTCCCACGAATGGATTGATACATTTCTTTTGTTGTTGGCGTTTGGTAAATAGCTACCACAATTTTTAACGGATTTTCCTACACATGTTGGATGGCGCTATTATGGTCACTTTCTCTGGCACCTCAATCGCGAAAAATCTTGGCGATTAATGTGCGCATGCGCAGCCTGGGCAACTTTCTTGTTTATAGAGATGTTTCTTTGAAATTTTAACCACGGATGCTTCTAGTAAAGACAAGCATATCGCATGCTGTAAAAATCTGACGTGCGCGCACTGCGCAATGTGGACTTTCTTATTTATAGAGACATTTTTTGATATTTTAACCAAAGATTCTTATAATAAAAGCAAACATCGCTATTTTCAACATCAGGTGTGTGCATGTGCAAAGTGAAAGTAGAGTATTTTTGCTTCTTACACTTTTTTCCTATTTCCAATAATAAAAGAAATATATGCTTGGACATGCAAAATCAATCACACTGTATAATTTATTTGTTTTTCTATATGCATATCGTTTAGATATGGTCTGTCTGAGGATATCGGAGCCTTTTACTGGTATGGGAAAGAGGAAGTCTAACCTGTCACTGGTTCTTTGACTATTAGTTCAATTTTTGCAACTATGCCAAGTTGAATTGGAGAAGGACCACTATACTTTTGAATAATGTAATTAGTAGGGTGCATGCATGCCTATTTAGAGGGGCGAGTTGATTATCTAATGAATCCATTAAAAGGACAACCTGCTATTCAATCAATTTAAATTACGACATGTTCATAAATTCACATAACTTAGATATTATTTGTTTTATGTAGGTAATGCGGGTCCACGCGGACCTTACCAACAACCTCCGATACCACACTTTCCCGTGATAAGAAGCGGTCCGCCACCGCTCAGACTTCACAGTCCGGGAGCTCCAAATTTACCTCCCATGTATCATGCGCATCGTTCTCTGGATCCTTCACCGTCTGGTGGTGGACCAATAAATGTTCCTAACACTAACAGAGATCGACAATCACCTTTGGTAGTGCCGCCTCCATCGCAAAGTCCTCTCGGCAAAGGTGACCCCACTCCTCCGCCGTACACCAGACCTCCACTGGCGCATTTCTCGCCGTCATCCTCGAATACACAAGGAGCACGACCGCTGCCCATCATACCTTCGCACTTGCAGCAGCATCGCTCGCCTAACATTTCTCAATTTCACCCAACATTGCCTCCCAATTACCATTATGGATCATATCCGCCCCCACCTCCACTAACTCCCGATGAAGGTCAATCTTCTCCGAGCTATTCGGCACAACCTTTTCCCGAACAGTATCCCGAAGGTGGACCTCCGATACAAACCACCGAATCTCCAACTGCACCGGTCACGACTACGTCTAGTGTTGTAGGTAAAACATTCGACGAAGGAGAGGAAGGTGGAGAGTTTGTCGGATTAGTGTCATATTTTTCAAGCCAACGAGAAGATGATTTGGATACATAGCAAGCGTACAGATAATTTCTTATACAGCAGTTTTTTACTTTGCAGCTAACTTTCCCTTGCGGTAATGGTGCATATTTAACATTGTTAAATATAATTTGCTAAACATGTATTAGTACTATATTAGAATGATATTATGACATTATTTTACTTTTATCAGAATTTTGTATTAATTTTTTTTATTGTGAAATATATTTATACTGTACAGATATTAGACATTGCCATTTATTTAATAAAAAAATACTGTAAATAGTTTGTAAATACAAGGGCGCGATAGCATATGATTTTAAAATTTAGCAATCTCAAACTGTTCAGCTTACCTCTATTATTCTCTCCGGAGTGATTGTTTAAATTATTTTTTCATTATTTCCGGCTGGAGACAATAATAGAAGCATGCACGATG